ATCCACGCCAATACGCCAGAAATTCACGGTAAATCCTTCCGTATCTAGTTCGCTTCCCCGACCTCATATCGGTGATCTTCTCGACTTCGAACTCGTCGGCTTCGAGATCCACATTCCAACTATCTTCCGGTAGGAGGACTTCGTCGAAGTCGACGCGGTCGGATTCATCCACCGAAAGACGGATCTGCGGCCGAGCCGGATATTCTTTGACCAACTTCAGCTTGGATACGTGTACTACAGGGAACAAGCGATATTCGGTACCTGCCGTTTTCAACTTCACCGCATGTTCCGCTATCTTTTCGCTTACCCGGAACGGTCCGTGCCATAGATAGGCCAATTTGCGGGCGTACCCTTCCTTCACCCGATCTAAATATAGCCACACCTGCGCTCCCACTTGGATTAGATGTAAACGGGATGTCTTCGCTGTGTCGGTTCGCTCGATCCTGTATCGCACTCCGCAGCCGTTCATTCACCTGGGATCTGGCTTGCCGGTAGTATTTCTGGACTTGGTATCGCCATCGCCTTGGATCTCGGTTTCTCTTCTTGGTGCTACATACCGGAATGGCCGCTTCTAGGGTGGATTTAGGATCCCACCCATGTACCAAGTAAAATGGGGTATCACCCCGGATCCTGTCTTGGGCGGTGTTCATCGCGAAGGGGAGTCGTTCTGCGTACTCATCCCAATCCCTCTGATCCAAATTCTGGACATACATCTTGAGTGCCCTCGTGATCGTCTGTACCCATGCGCTCGGCCGATCCGTTAGCTTGGGGACGATATGCCATGGTTGCCCGCTGTCTCTGCCCCAGGATCCGGTTGAAAGCTCGAAAGAAATCAGACATAAAGCCTGGCTCCCGATCATGCCTAATCATCTCACTAGCCCCAAATCTTCGGAAAACGCACTTCTCGTACGATTCGGTAATCGTCTGTGCAGTTCTAGACGCACTAGCTTTGGCTATCACGTATCCGGTAAACAGATCCACCCAGATCAACAATTCCGTGTTTCCTGTGAACGACTTGGGCAACGAGGGGATGTGATTCATGGCTATGATTTGGAAAGGGTAGGTCCCTTGGACATTCCCGGGTGACTCCCCTTCGATTGTGGGCCTGCCCTTGCCTGTCTCACAATCCACACATTCACCGACATATCGTTGCACGCTCTTGAATAGTCCACTCCAGTGGAAACATTCCCGGATCCGTTGGTAGGTCCGACCAATTCCCTGTTGTCCACCTTCTATACTAGCGTGATAGTGATGTAGGACATACTGTTGAAAGGTTTCCGGCATCACCAGTCTCATCAATCCGTCCCGATCCTCGTTGACTCTCTTCGTAGGGGGACAATAGAAGAGCAATTCATTCAGATCCACTGCATAATCCGTAGCGATAATACTGTAGGATTTGGTATCCTCCCGACTCAGGTCTCCTACATCCCCCATCAGATACTTATTTAGTCCCAAGATCCACGTTTCTTCGTTCTGTGCTTTGAGGATCCGCTCAATGTGGACTCCCTTCACAGATGCTTCATCGAGGTATCCGATTTGTTCGTGAACAGCGAGAGAACCTATGGTATTTGCGAACGTGGCAATGGCGACATGCTGAATGCAGTCACTTGGCAAGAAATTCTTCGCCAACTGATGGCTAAAGATCTTGGTATTGACACGTCTCTCGGTCGCGTGGAACCTTTGGTTGGCTGTGAGATTGTTCGACAGACGCTGTACATGCAGAACAACTCAGGCCCGTTCAACGCCCCTGTTGATACGTCATTAAAGGGTCTAGAAGATTACGCGCAAGCTATCAAGAACCCCATGGACCTAGGCACTATCGAAAAGGAGATCGATTCGGGAGGCTACGAGGGACCTGATGGATACGAAAAGTTCGCGCAGGATATTCGATTGGTGTGGGACAACGCTGTACTATACAACGGCGAAGAATCGGACGTGGGTCGCGCTGCTTTAGCCCTGTCGGATGTGTTTGAGCAAGACTACGAGCGCTTTGTGGTTGGACGGGTTCGAGCGAACCAAAGCCGTATTGAAGGCTGCAAAAAGGCAGAACAAATGCTTCACGACCCGTCCGCAGAAGAGCTGAAATCCTTTCGATACAACGACGTTGTGTATGGCTTGTACTGCTCGGAGTTCCACAAGCTTCCAACGGCGTACAAGATTGGTGCTCTCTCATGGATTTGCTCGGAATTCCTGACATTATCTAGCATTCGAACCTACATGGCATCTCAGGTAGATCAGGAGATGTTGATTTACAAGAATCACCGGAAACGAGCAGCTGATTTGGATTCTCGGAGAAAACACTCGGACAAGATGCGGCGCGAAAGAGATAATGCTTTTAGAAGGGACTGTGCTAACCAAGGTATCCATCCCAACTCGCACAACGTTTTCTCGGAGGGCATTAAGCGGCGACATGAGTTCATTGGCAAGTTTTTTGAGGACCTGCAGGCGGAGAAAATCGAAGATGAGAAGAACTTGGAGCAAGAGAAAAAGGCGCAGGCCGAGGAAATGGCGAGTGAATTGAGCTCGGTTGTTATTCGTGAGTCTCCTTTGGGAAAAGACAGGTACCACAACTCGTATTATATGTTCAAGCACGATTCCAAGCCTCGGTTGTTTATTGAGCGTGAAGACTCGGGAGACTTCGTGGTCTGCAGCACTAAAGCCGACATTACGACAATTATGGAATGGCTGAATCCGAAAGGTGTGCGGGAAATGGACTTGTTAACCAAGCTACAGGAAGTTAAAGACAAGCTGTGTAATGGCATCGAGGAAGAAGACAAACCAGATGGTGATAGTGCAGCAGGAATTGTGTGGACTACAAAGGGTGGAATCGAGCTTCAAATGTTCCCTCTTCCTGGTGGTGCGATACAAAGTGAGGTTATGACCATCACGGATGAAGACAAGGTCATTAAGGCACACGATGTTGCTCGCAGAATGCTGCTATGCTTGAAGCAACACCTTGGAAATGCTAGTACGTTGTCTGCTTCGTGGGAAGGCGCGGACACATGGAGTGCTCGTGTGGAAGAAGCAAAATTATTCAAAGAGCAACTTGACTTGTTTGCTGAGCTAGAAAATGCTGCGGTAGCAGCCTTACATTCGGGAGTGGAAACAATCCGACCGTCGTGGCAACGAAAGCGACACGAGTGGCGATTGGCACTGGAGGGTTCTTGTACGTACGCTCAGCTAGTATTTTTGCTGCATTTGCTGTTAGAAGAGTTTCTTAACGTCGAAGCTTTTATGGACCTACACATCCGGTTGGATCGACGGGATTGGCTCAAGTTGCGACCCAAGGAAACTCGCAACTTTATTCCTGAGGTCGGAAAAACTGTCGTATACTTCGGGGATGGCCATGCTCTTGCGTTGAAAGAAGACGAGAAGTCGAAAAGAAAGCGTTTCACACAGAAGAGTGACACTCCTGTCCGTAACGCGACTATGATCTGCACCGTGGAGAAAGTGTCGTATCATCATGGTGGAGGAGACCCGTACGCACTGGCGGTGTTGAAACCGAATTCGGATATGGCACAGCACGAATGCATTCGCCAACCTGGAACTCTTCTATGCTCTCTGCCGTCGCGAGATCAAAGGCTTGCGCGAGTCTTTTTGCGAGTGATGGCTAAGCTGAAGATGCTAGCCGATGCTGGTCCGTTCCTAGAGCCAGTGTCCAATCGGGAGTTCCCGCAATACAAGGAGATCATTTTGCATCCGATGGATCTTGGAAAAATGACCACAAAGGCAAGCAAGCTGGAGTACAAGAGTGCAGCGGAGTTTATGACCGACCTGAGACTCATGCGTGACAACTGCCAGCTCTTTTGTGAAGGTCGCTTCCCAACTTTGCCCCCGTTGGCCCACAATTTGGTGTATGTAGCGGACGGTCAACTAAAGAAGTGGGCCAAGGAGATTCGAGCATGCGAGGGAGGCTCAAGTGAGCTGAAGACGGATATGTTGTCTCAAGAGAAGAAGGTCAAGCAAGACGAATTAGAGCCGGACAAGTTGACACCAGCTGGGTTGCCAACTTGTTCGATAGTGACGATCTTGCGCCTCGAAAACCGATTGCCAGAATACGTTGTGGATATCACTCGATACTCGTGGGCTGTGAATCGTACGTGGCATTGTGGAGAGAAATTCCGCATGTTGTTCCGCAACCCTCAAGGACACCCAGGTGAATACTACGAAGGTGTGACTGCAGGTTCCTTACCGTTCGATGAGCATGGCTTGCTACCATGGGAGTCGCTACGCATTACCTGGGACGAAGATGATGGATCGGATGACAACCGTATTAACCCATGGTGCGTTTGCTTTGATAAGACTACTGGAATTCTGGCTCACTCAATTACTCGTCTTACGTTTTGAACAGGGAGGCGGAGTTTCCTCGAGATGGAAATCGGGCGTAGATAGAGATGGGTGCTTCCAGATTCCCGATTGCGCGTGGGCATAAGTGCTGATATGACAACACTTTATCGATGCAGTTTGTGTATGACCTCTGGCAAAATGGATATGATGATTGAGCGGAGACAGAAACTTGATCGGGGCATGTTGCAACTCGAACTCACGATACCGATACTTTTCTTGCCCAATTGCGCTGTCATTCAAGTCATGAACGAGACAGTTCAAGCGTGATTAAAGCTGAAACACAGGTTTAAACCGGAGTAGAGCAAGGTGTAGTGACTCCTTCGATGGAGCGCTGACCCTTATTACTGTTACCGATAACTAAAATATCGCTCCCTATTTCCTGCTATCCTACGTACTGTAGTATCTTCACATGAACGCTAGAGCTTTCGACCTGTGCAACCGTAAGCTCGAGGATTTGTTGTGACGGTACGCTGCCGGTCACATGCATCCGATGGCGACAACGTAGTGGAAGAGTGCTGATTGATCGGAGCAGAGCAGACCTCTATTTCTTGTTCTGTTTCTTTTTGTTTTTCTTCTTCTTCTTGGGTGTACTTGCTCCGTTGCTCTTCCCTATTGATCCATTCGCTTCCTCAGCTGCGATCAATGCTGCAGCGGCAGCGTCCTCAGGTTTAGCAGTAAACTCATCGTCGGTGCTTTCATTAGCGTTGCCATTCGGATGGTGCGTATTCCGCTTACTTTTCTTCTTCTTCTTGCGCTTCTTGTTGCCCTCAGGCGCGTCATCTTCCGGCCATGCGACGTCGTCCACGAAACCTAAAGAACGTGCAAACTCCGAGCCATGGTCGATACCTGCCTCCTCTTCGGTCAGCATCTGCCAAGTGTCCTTCTGATAACCCGGTCGGATGGCTTGGGGCACCGTAAAACCCAAGCCGTTCACGCAAAGCAGATTGGTATGGTCACGCAGTTCCTGCTCAAATCCACGCCATGTCGTGTGTGACTGCAAGAAGTTGCGCAAAAACGCCTCAGGTGACTGAGAAGCTGCCTGCAGACGAATAGCATTGCAAATCTGCAGAATGTATCCCTTATTGCTTGTAGATTCGCCATCGGCACGGTAGTGCTCCACTAACAGTGTGACCAGCTTGAGCTTTTTTACAAGCACCTCTAATGCCTGCTGGTTGTCCGTGCGTAGTGCAATAAACACGAGCTGATAAAAAGCAGCATGATACAGATTGTTGTGCGAATACTCAAAGAACCACGTGACCAGCACACGCCATACGTTCGCATCGAAATGTTCGCTCATGAGACTCGGGTTGTGCGCCATAATCTCTACAAGAGCCTCGACCAGAGTCAGTCGTAATTCCGTGAAAGGAACCTTCACCACGTACGCAGTGTGTCGGACTGCAGTCTCGGGTAGCGGCTTTCCAGACTCTTCGTCGGGCATTTCAATGTTCTGCTGACTCACGTATTTTTGAATAAGGTATTTCAAAATCTCTCCAAGATGCTGTTCCACCAGTTCGTAGATCTTCTGACGCAGAGGACCTAGCTGATTGGGCACAAGGTTCACGATCGTAGCACCGAACGACTGGTACGGACTTGTGGGTGGACCCTGTACCTTCTCCAGTGTACTCTTCTGCAGCAGCCTGAAGACGCACTTCATCGCGGCAGTACGTTGGCCAACAGTTCTTTGCGGGGTTAAACTCTTGTTCTCTTCAGGCTCCACGGCAGCACGGATTAGTCCTTCAAGCAGCTCCGGGCAGTACGCGGCTGGTTGCAGCAATAACTGTCCGTTTTCATCCGCTGCAAGGCGGTCCAGTAGCTCTATGAACACGTCGGCAGCTCCAATAGTATGCGTCTCGCCATACTCAGTACTACACACGTGGTTGGCCAGCATAAGCAACATCTTCCACTCTGCCAGTGCACGGAAGAACGCCCACTTTTTCGGTGGTGTAGAGGCATAGAACCGCATGACTGCCGCACTATGTGGCTTGCACACCAGCGTCAGGAACAGCTCGGCCACAGGCGCATGCTCCAGGTATGGAATCATGGCACCCATGTACCTCTGCACAGTTTCGGCATCTTTACCGAGCACGTCGTACACGTCGTTTAGATAGAAGCGCAGGAGGTGGTCGATGACCCGGCATGCGTGACGTAAGTTGCCCTGGGCGTCGCTTTGAAAAGCTTGGAACAGACAGCGTGTCAGCAACTTGCTCTTGTCCCCGAGGAACGTGAGCAGCGCGTCTGCCGTGTCGTCGTTCGTCAGTAGCATCGTGGCGCGATAGGACGTCAACAGCTCGGGTGTCACATTATCCTCCGTCTCATCTTCGCGGCTCGCTCGCGCATCTTCAGCAGTCGCGAGTTTATTGGCATCGGGGCCGTCGGGTAGCTGGGAGCTCGAAACCGGTGCGCGTGTGATGAAGCCGATAAAGCGAGCGAGCACCGCGTCGTTGCTCACCGCCGAGACCAGCGGGGCTGACACTGACGGATTCTCCTCGGCCAATAAGCTTTGCAGAAATTCGTTGGGGGACGACGGCGCGGACGCCGCTGAGTCGCGGCGAGACACCGTCACTTCGGTCATTGCTCACAGGTTACTCGGGGGGTTATGCCGACGACCACTCGTAGGGACGACAAAAAATTGATGTAGAAGTGGTGTTTAGAAATACCTCAATTAGGTTCGATACTTGCTAAAACAGTAGAGTGGTCTGTCTGCATGGTTTCAAGGTGTTTCTGTTGATGTCGGTGGAAATCCTCGAGTTTTTGCATCGCTTGGGTGTAGAATGGGTATGTGGACGCTGGTTTTAAGTAGTCGGGTAGTTTCTGCAGGACAAGCGCGTAGTGGCAGCTACGAGTGAAAGGCGTCCACACGCGGAACCTATCGGGTGCGATGGTGTTGGCCACGTCGAAGATGGCAGGCCAAAGGCGATGTGTCGAGTCCGTAAAGATGAAATAGCTGCCGGCGCTACACTTTCCGAAAAGCGAGCGCAGGAACACGTAGTCAGTATTACGCAACAGACAGAAGTTCTCCACGCACACGAACGAGAATATGTGCAGTTGAGTGGTTCTCAGAGACTGGCGCACGTGCTTGTTCTCCACAGCCCCCAGGTCAAGCGTAATATCACAAAACCGGAAGTTGAGCGAGACATTCCGTTGGCCGAGTTGATCCAGTGTCTGCCCCGCTGCGTTGATCGCAGTCTCCCAACCGGGCTCGTTGTCATACACTGTAGCGTGAAAGTTAACCTCCTGAGCTCGAAAATACTCGCGCATGAAGACAAGTCCTGTAGCGTCGTACCCCGGACCTCCTCCATACAGCGCCATGTTCCAGCACTCTGTTTGGTTCGCTCGAAACAATTCCGATCGTAGCTCGCTGAGCTCTTCCGTCAGCAGCAGATTGGGCAGATTTCCACACCGATTGATTTTCTGTCGGATGTAGCCGCTACGAGCGTGAGTATTCCCAAACGAAGGTCGCTGTCCGGTGTTGTAAACACAACCCTCTCTTAAGCTCCATGGTCTCCATCATTGCAGCAGCAGGAAGCATTTTTAGTATAAGCGGCAGGAACGAATAGCACGTTTGGCGAATAAAGGTGGTCCAGGCATGGCGAAATGCGCGACTGCGGAGGTTCCAGACCGATTTTCTTGGCTGTACTTCGCTGCCATTAATGTCATTGAACTGCAGACAAGTGCACGTAAACAACCATCGTCGATTCACCGCTCGAAGCTCACGACGCTCTCGCAAAGACAGAAATGACACCACTAACGCACCGCACTCAGTGTCCATACCTTCCCTAGCCCGAAAATAACAAGATTAAACACTGATCGAAAATAAGTTCCATTTTACTAAGTACGTAGAAGCATTTACCAGACCTTGATCCCAAAATAAACTTTTTTCTTCTAAATTCGGGACATCTGTGACGTGTGGTAAACGTTTTTTTTTAACCTATTGACGCCTTTGACATGAACTCCATACTCGATCGCGGAGCTGGAACATCGATACAGGTTAGTTAAGTTGATCGAAAAGTAGTAGCGATTGAAGCTACAGCACGCACCGTGCGGTTCATCCCGTACGCGACAGTATTCATTGCTCCCTGGTAGAATATAAGACTATCTATCAAGGGATATTCAAGGTTACCAAAAAAACTGGTTGATGTCTCTACCTGCAACGGGGTGAAGAAGCTGATTAAATACAGGAGTGGTGCATCAAGTAAATGGTTGGGGGCCACTGCTTGGTAGGCGAACGCGAAGACAATCCACACGTTTGGGAGGAAGAAAGCCCAGCTGTAGAGCAGAAGACGATAGTGGATGCGAGTCTCCATACTTGTCGACAAGGTGTCAGTCTACCCGATAAAACAATATCGTTAATTTAAAATACTGCAAGGAAAACTCGTAACTCCCACAGCACCTCACCATTAAATACAGCAGCATCACGTATGTTGCCAGGTTGTGCAAGAAGGTAAGCACCACAGGAGCGTAAAAGATAACAAGCTGGACGTAGAACGCTTGTTCGTTCCACTGATCGTCACTCCATGAGCGTATCCAGCACCAAGGCCGCCCACTTTCCCCCACCAGGTCTGTTCCAGCCCACGACTGCGTATACAAATGCGCCACAGCCTATCCAGCACGGAGCATAAAGATTAACAAACCACCAATCTGCCACGCTAACATCTTACTGCAATAGGTATTCCCCACGCAACAAGGTGATATCGGTCCTCGTATAACTCTGGCGCCTTACACCGTCGTGTCAACAGTTGAAAGAGATGGAATGCAAAACACCCAGTCCAGAAACAAGACGCTAGCTGGAAGAACACCAAAGTATAACCCTACGTGCAAGAAAGCAAAGTGAGCAACCTGGTCACCACGTCATCTTTATTGCTACATACCTGTGTGGTGCATATCCACGATGTTGGCAAACTGTTCAGCTCTTCATCTTCTTCGGGAATTGGTAGGAAAAATACCAGAAGCCAAGCGCATGCAGCACCTGCATCTGCTAGATGCAAGCAAAAAAGTAGCCTCCGTCCGCACCTTCGCGACTCTTGAAAGGCAAGATAATGCGCGATCATCATAAGCGCGCCGAGCAGTGACACTCCGCTAGAGATCCCGACTAAAAGCCTTGACGTTGACGCCTCGTGTGCTGCGTGGAGCTGCTCGTCTTGCAGTATGCCTTCTGCATAGCTCATCATCGCCCACGAAAAAAGATATCTGACGTGGATTTACCCGTTTCACTTGAATCAATATGAATGGGCGTTTTTCGTGACAAAGAGCTCCAGTAAAAAAAAATTAAGTTGTAGTAAAACAAAATAACGTTGTTTAGTTCTTAGTCTGGTGTGAAGGTGATTCCACCGTCCTTCTGACGCTTGCCACACAAACATCCGAAAAGTTTGACGCATGGCAAGTCGTAATAATACTTTTCCTCCGGGTCACTCAACACGCGATAAGCCTCTTTAAGCTTCTCGTACTTGTACGGCTCGGTCTCATTGTTGAAGCGCTTCACCAATGTGTTGTATGCTGCGTCGATCTGTTCGCGGCTTGCAGTTTTTACCAATCCCAGTTTTGCATACATGTCTTTAGCTTTCCACATGCGAATCTCGTAGAACTCAAGCTGCTGTCGCAACGCCTCGAGTATACGTGCCTCACACGCACCCCAGTCGTACATATGCCGCTCACAAAATTTCTTCGCAAGAATTTCGACATAGTGGACACAACGTTGGCCACCGTGGGGTTCTATCTCACAGATCCAGTCCGACTCGGGACGCACATACTCTAATGTGTGCGATAAACCAGCGTACGTAGCTTGGACGGAAAACAGCGTACGTCTCGGCTGCATGCGGCTACATTCGACTCGAGTACTGTTGCATACAATCTCAATCAGGGTCGTATTTAAAGGTGCTGTTTGGAATAGATCGTGCTTTTCCATGAATGCGTACACGACGTCAACTGGTTCTTGGCCTTCTAATATTTGGACGTCCCCAAGTTTGGTGCTAGCAGACTCCCAGACTGGAAAATCGATCAGCATTGGTTCAGCACGTGTACAATTCGGACGCTTTCGCTGTTCGTTGCACACATCGATGAGGAACTTCTGTCGCTGACGCAGCGTCAAGTTACGCATCAGGCCATATTCGTAGATTACATCGGTGGAATCTTGTCCGTCGAAGAGCGGCAATCGCTCACGACGACCATCAGGAAGCGTGTAGACAGCTTCGTAGAGAATCCCGACTTCTCGAGTACATTCGAGTCCACTTGCCTGGCACACACCATTCACGATGCTCTTTTTCTCTTCCGGACCGAGTTCATGCTTGTTTCCGAACCTGGCAACGGCATCTGCAGGCTCTTCGTTGGCAAGTACCTCTAGGACTCCGAGTTGCGACCCATTCTGGGCGGCGACAGGTACTCTAAACACAACTGGTGCGTATCGTGAGCAAACGAGAGGCTCAGCTTCGTCTTCATCGTCCTCTTCTTGACCGGGTGTTAACTTTGAAGGATTGCACAAACTATCGAGCAGTACCTCGCGGTCGCCGGGTGCTATATTGTGTTGATCCGCAAATTGATAGACTACGTCGGCTGGCTCCTGCCCTTCGTAGATCTTCAGGTACCCTAGTATCTGGCCACTACCATCACTCACTGGCGTAGATCGAAGCAGTGCTTGGCCTCGAGTGCATAGAACTCCTTCTCGAGTACCACAAAGTGCTTGGAACAACGAAACTTGTAGGTCGCGAGTGATGTTGGTTTGACGAGAAAATCTGTGCACCGCATCCGCAAGTTCTTCATCCTCTCGAATCGATAATACACCGACAATTGTATCATTTTCAACTTTGATAGGAGAAGCGAAAACTATCGGTTGGAGTCGCTTACAAATCACGTACTTGTCATCACAAACCTGCCTCACCAGATTCTGTCGGAATGGTTGTGCTAGTCCAAAATGCAATCCAAACTTGTACACTGTATCAGCTGGCTCCTGCCCTAACGGAATTTGTAGAGCACCAAGTTGACGAGGTTCGCCAGTCTCGTCATCTTCCACTACAATACGCTGCGAGTAGACCAATGGAACGTTTCGCAAGCATTGAGTACTGCCAATAGCCGAGCAGATCACATCAAGCAGCTGCTCCAGCGCAGGCATTGGCAACTTGTGGTCCTTGACGAATTTGTAAATCTGATCTACCGGTTCAACATCGTCATAGATTTCAAGTTTACCGATCTGAGAGCCTCCGTCTCCAGCGACAGTCTTCGAGTGCATCAGCGCTTTGCTTCTTGTGCACACTACACGAGAGGCAGCACACACTGCATTCAGTATCGTCGCTCTCCCTTCACGTCCAATATCATGCTGCAAGGCAAAGCTAAGCACAGCGTCTGCTGGCTCGACGCCCTCCATGATCTGCAGTTCTCCCAAGACTCCGCCCCCTGGAGCCTGGATCTGTGTCGAGTAAAGCATAGGTATTTCACGACGACAAACTACTCGAGGTCGCTGGCAGATCTGTACCAGCATGTTGTATCTCCACTTGTGTGTCTGGTCGTGACGCACTCGAAACGCCTCCAGCGTGTCCACAGGCTCTTGTCCAGAGAGAAGCAGAAACTGTCTGTGCTCTGGTGGGGGTTCCAGAGGCAGCTGCACCTCGAGCAGGACTTCCAGTGCCAGGCACGAGACAACGCACAGCAAGAGAACGACCAGCCATGGCGTGACGGCACGAAAACTGCGGCCATCATGACGACGAGGCATTGCGGAATGCTGGACGGGTGCAGTAGCTACAGATCAATTATTATTGTAACGTTACCGCGACTTTTCGTATGGATACGCTTTAAATCTGTGACATGGTGCGCACATGGCTACAGTTGGGGCATCAAGTTTATCAATGCGTCTGTGCATCTCGCAGCCATGCGAATTTGAAGCTGTAGTCCGCCCCTATGAATCAAAAAGCAAGCAAGTCATTTCGAGATATCCCGCCTGACCAAAGGATGTGTATCCATCCACCTACCAAAATGAACGAGGGAGGATTGCACAACATATACGACCCACAAAACCAACTTTGACTGCACCATTTTCCACAGTGTTTTGAGTACGAAAGCCAATTGAGCCACCGGAGAGAAGTGCACAATACGACGCGGTACTACGTCCAGTACGACAAGAGAAATAAGCTCGAGCAAAGAATACAGAAGCACGTTGGTCAGCGTCTGCTGCAATTGGTCAGAATCCATATCCTTGAGCTCTGGATAGTAAATACGGTTCGGGAGATACGACATCACCACCAAGTAGATAGCTGCGCACGACACGTAGCCACAATAATAGTAAGAAAACGATACAACGCTAACTGCAAATCGATATACAGACTTACAATACAGAATCGGAACGATGACTTCGGTGTACTCGACAAGGATGGTGCACTCAGTCACGTACAGTACCCTGGCAACTTTCTTCACATATATTTTTTCCAGGGCGTCCACAGGCATTTGTGCTACGTCAGAGCTATCTGGTGAGCTGCTTACGCGTATAGCTGTACTATCCCCTATCATTGGGACAATTGAGGTAGTAGAGGCTTGGACAACTTTAATCGTGTTGGAATTCCTGACCGGTCGAGTTCGGAAAAAAGCAGGAGTAGCCCAGGTATCCTGTAGGATCGTATCATCACTAAAGCGTCGACAGGGACCAATATGCCGCGTAGCAATCTCGTACGCTCGATCTAGCATACCGGTAACCCAGCCGGTTTCTAAAGAGATCTCTAGCGTTGGGTGAGGATTTTGATCCACTCGCGAATCAATCAAATGTCCTAGTGCCTTTACTTCACGAGCCAATAGTATTATTTCCCACACTGAAACACCCGTGTGAAGGAAGTCGATGATCATGATTGCTGCCATGGTTAGCTGGGATGACGACGCATTCTGCATGCAAAAAGAGACGAACAGTGCATTGAACACTTCTACGTTAAAGATCATCGCTAAAGATCATCGCTTCCGGCTTCATATCGCTCTGCGCTCGCATACAGCGGCTGATAGCGTTTTTGGCAGCAATCTTGATCACTTGTAAGAGCAATGAATATGCCGCTTGAGACTTGGGCCAATCCTGGAGGCTCAGGATTCCTGAGTCAGGAATCCGTAGTTGAAGAATGGACAATCAAAGACGTCTGGATAGTAAACACTATTAACCACTCAATGATCAGAACTTGTACCTCCTTGTTGCCTCGAACATGAGGCCACCAACTATTGCAAATGCCGGAGCGGTCATTTGCATTGTAAATGGTACAGGGAATCCAATCACCACGGACAGCGAATAGCTGTACGCCAACCCGCCCGTAGTTATGATCGCAGTAATGAAATACAGTCGCCGCCACGACATGGGGAGTCTGGCTAGTACCTCTTTGAGCTGTATCGCAAAAGACAGAGTAAAAGTCCCCAGCACTAAAATACTGCGCAGCCAAAACACGACGTTGGCATTCGTCCCTGCCTCGGGCGGATTCAATGGCACGGTATCACCCAGGATTACCGTGGTAAGGCATGGCAACGGGGTCAGCAAAAGTAGGAGTGAGATTTCAGCAAGACCGACGGCACCGCAGTAGTCACATAGTGCGATCAGGCGGTCGACGGAGTACTGACCCTGGAACTCCACCTGCAGTGACTCCCACGCACAAACAATATTTCTCCTCAGGCTGTTTAGCATTGTGTCGTCTTGGACAGGAAGCTTGTCTTACAGTCTGTTCAAGTCGTCGTGGACGCAAATGTACCCGTCCAAGTCATAAATAGCTGAGAGGGTCGTGTTGAGTCCACTTTCCAGCTTTATTTAATCGCTTCACTCGTCGAGTTTCCATTCGTCTGCGGTGGCCAGTCGAATCCCCAACTGCTCAATTTGCTTCAGTCGTTCTTCACAATTCAAGGCAAACCCCACAAGGTCCTGGTGGAACACTTGGCACGCCAGGTTGGCGTTCAGACATGTGAGCCGCACAGCCTCCGAGATAATGGAACTCGAGACGATCTGTTTGCCGTACAGTGGACCGAACGGTGGGATCCCTGCCTTCACGTGTACCTCTGTGCGATATTCGCGGTCGTTCACAGGTTGAATGACGATATGTACGTCATTAAACTGTCCAGATAGTGTTCGCAGGTCGTAGTCTTCGTCGCATTCCTGCATTAAAGCAGAAACATCACTTCAGTCAGATGATGTTCACTTCCCCCCCCCCCCGCATGGTGCTTGATCGTACCTTGAACACAACGTGGACGAAGTCGTTACCGATGTGGCGCTTCTTCTTCATTGCCGAAAAGTTGTCCACACTACAATCAGCTGGCCGTTTACTATCGGGAATCATCATCGTAGCAACATGAAACATTATCTGCAAGATTGCCAGAAGAAGGTTAGTTCTCCACACGCGCAGCTACGCCAGCAAGTGAAACCAAACCTGTGCGCATGCGTCCTTATAGATGAGACCGAATTTCCCATCGCTGTTGCTTGTTGTATCAAGCCCTCCTGAATATCCCGGGAGCCCTTCCAATTTCGTGAAGGTGCCAAGACCACGCAGGAACCGCAGATAGCGGAGCGATCCTCCTGCGTTTCCCAGGATAGCAGACTCGGAAGATTGCTTCTTGTCTCGAACGTATAGCAACCCAATTTTGTGTGTTTCATACTCCGGAGTGCGATCCAGTACACTGAGCGCCAGCCTTAGAGATGGTCCATCGCTAAGCAGTTTGGGGCGATTTTCCACTGTGATATCGAAGAGCTGCATCATCAAATACGTGGGGTCGTATTGGTCTTCAGTAGACAAGGCCTGCATTCCTCTGAAGGCAACCGACGTGGAATCATTGTTGCCCGAAAAGTGTAGTACCCTGGGTGCTTGTACTGGGATAGTTGGCGGTTGATCTGTGCTGTCATTTAGTGAAAACTCACCCATCTCATTCCCACTCCCATCATCTTCACTCTCCATGCGTCCTTGAAGAGCTTCCATATCGTTATCATTCTCTTTAAGCTCATCATCTTCTCGAATAGCGCGATCGACAGGATTCTCTGACGAGCCTTCATGCCCAACATCTCCTTCTGCTTGCGTTGAATGCTCCCTCGACATGAAGCGATTTGGGTTTCTTGGGGGCTGACGACGCACTACAGAGTATCACCAATACAATAAATTAGTTCACCCAACATATCACGACACATCTTTACGCTGTGTAAGTTCTCACCTGGTGCGTTATCACAATAGTATGATGGTGAGCCACCAATGCCATCGTACGCAGGTAGCGGGGGCAGTGCAGTCGCTGCGGTCGCGTGTCGGAACATTTCTACCGCAGTTTGTAAAGATGAATCGTTACGATTTCTCTTCTCCACAGCATCACGGTACGCTCTCCTACCACGTCCATCGCGAGCGTTACTTATGCTTTCGGACTTTGACTGGCTTGGATGAGATGGTCTGAGCTCAGCTGGGAGAGCTACTCGGTTTGTCGTGGTATCACATTTAGCTCCAATCACATCCGTTGAGTGCAAACCTAGTCGGTTTGAACTTGCACGATTACTACCCCGTTGAGACCGTGGGAAAAGGAGGGATGAGGCTTCTGGGATTAGCGATAGATCGTGAAGTACACCAAGCTCCCATCGACTTGTGTAGTTAGCTCTGCGGATTACAAGTGATGCATCTCCTCTCGCGGTTGTCGTGATTGTCAACAATGACCTTTTGTAAACCCAAGACCTTGACATCGTTTGGCACGAATCACCGGCTGTCCGTGGCATATCGTCGCCCTCATTTCGACGCTGCTGTCGACTAACAAGGGCCGAAGGAGCTAGCGCTGATTGGGAGTACGCATAGCACATTAAATAATCCACAGCAGCCTCTGCGAGAAGGCTGTTTGCGCGACGGGTACACCGCTGTAGTGTTGGCATTGCCACGGCTGCAAGGGGAATCCTATTCTTGCGGTCACTCTGCTGAATAACTTGGCAAAGAAGACGGAACGCAAGGTACGACAGCTGCCTTGACTTGGAGTATTCAAACCCAAGCAGCAGTGCCTCCACCATCGCCTGGTGTGCACGTAAGACGCTGTCTTCCGGTTCGCCAGCCAATATCGGCACGATGACGCCCAATAAATCCAGCACAGCAACGAAAGCATCAGGCCGAAAATCTCCATCCACAGTCGTAACGCACGTACGCAGGCTTTGAAGCACTTCCTCAAGTTGGCCTAGCACTGAACCAGACGCGACAAGAGCTAACAGACTCAACGCGGTCGTGGTGGTGTGCAGCAGCTTAAATTCGGCTTCGAAGAGTTGACGTAGGAATTCCTGCAAGCGCGCTCTATCTTGTCGTGTCGGACGTCTCGGTGTACTTGTTCGAGTAGGAGCTGGTCCTAACGAGGATTTACTCACCGACCCAGACAACGCATGGAATAAATTACCGTGAGATGCCGATGTCTGAAACCTTGACAACACACGAGACGTAAACCCAAGAGGTGTACTAGAAGCGTATGCAGCCTGAGATTCTGTTTCTTGATGGTGATACAGCATATTTGGCGAAGATGCAGACGCAGATAAAGTCGAATCGTCACCAGAAGTACCTCCCGCGAACAGGTCCTTTTCAGCAACAGCCAAGCGTAACTTCATCGCACCTATCAAACATCGCGTGAGCTCGTGCACTGCATTTTCGTGCAGCTCGGCTTCGTAGCTAACAAGAAGTTGCAGCAGTTCAATTCCCATCGTGAGAAATCGAGTTTTAGCCAGAAAACCTGCCGTTGCTTCCACTCTTGCACCGAACGATAATGCCGTATTTTCACTCGCGCCCGTACTCATGGACCTAATCGAGCGTACAAGCTCTGCATCTGTCAGCGGGATCGCGCGACCAGCACGTCTACCATTATCTCGTGACTTGCGATGCCGAGGTATCAATACCGTTGCATCTTCTTCGCCAGACTCCGAATTACTGTTCTGGTCGTGAAGTAATCTGTCGACCTCATCGGGAATAGCACCACGCCCGAAGGCCCTGTAATCAATACTAGCGACAACCTTCGCCAAGACCTCGCTAACATCGACATCTTCAAGAATGGCACGGTTTTCCAGCATTGTCTTGATGCCTTTGACAGCCATACGGAAAAGCTCCGCGTCAGGCTCGGCACTTACTAGCGTTAGTAGAGCGCGAAGAGCACGAGTCACCGGTACACAGGAAGCTGTCAACTGCACGCCAGCCGCGTTGGTACGCGCAGCTCGACGAGACACAAACAAGAACCGTGATGTGCGCGTGTGTTCTTGCTCCTTCCACTGGAGTTTTCCGTCAGTAGCACGGGCTTCACACACATACAGTAGGCATGATAGCGCAGTATAACGAACATCGCGGCATCGGTGAGTTTCCACTGTTGTGGCAAGAAGATCGTACATACGCACAGCACGAGCTGGGGGTAAATGATCAAAAGCAGACGAGAAGAGAGACACAATACCCGACGCTGCCACGAGTTGAGCATCTTCATTACTGGAAAGCGTCATGGCACTAGCCAGGATGTCAAGCAGTGATTCAAATTTTACACTTTCCAGTTGTCGTGCCACCTCAATGATAAACAAAAGAGCACGACGACGAATCTCCGCATCCGGGTCTTCATACACTCGACCAAGCGTTGGAATCACCACTTCTTCAATGACGCGGTCCTCGCAGACATTGCGACTAGTCCATAGGTTGACTCGTAGTACCTCCAGCGCCTCCAAACGTATCGTACTTGGCACAGGAAGAGCGTCGCCATCAGGAGTTATACAAGAGAAAAATGTTCTCATTGCAGAAGATAAAGTGGACAACCAGTCCAGATGGTATCCTGGGTGGGCAGCCTCAGCACGCTGTCGCAACAAAAACAGCATAGAGTTTTCACTGAGATGCGGTAGGTAATCTTCCAGAATGTTAAGAAACTCATCCGCGTCTCCAGCAAATTGCTGTTGCTCGACAAGGTCCTCGACAGCTTGCAAAGTATCCAAAAGTTCACGAGGGATTCTGGTTTGTTGAATTGATATCGAAAGATGGTGCTGCGGTTCGTCGGGCAGGTCATTTGCTGGATAGATAGCTGCTGTCCGATGGATTTTAGCTTCCGGTCTCCGATTATCCGACGGCAGTGTTCGCTGAGGAGCTTCTTCGATCTCCGTCATGGACACCCATGGCCTCAGCGTCTGCAGTATTCGCAAAATAATGTCCCACTCCATAACGAGACACCGTTTATCACGGTTAGTACTTAAGCTTGAGGTACTTGCACCACTTACAGCAGTCAGATCGTGGCCACGGTCTCCAGACTGCAACGATGACTTGGATGGAGTCGACGAATTAGTACCACATTGCCCACTCCCTGCTTGATAAACTGCACCAAACTTCTTAATAAGGCGTTGCACAGATAAAATGACCTCGAATATGACCACGCCCCGGCAACATTGTAATGCTTGTTCAAGCGCCAATAAGATGGGAGCCCACGCAATGTCGTCAAACTTCGCCACTCGCTGAGAACCCCAGCACGACATACCAACAAAAAACACTGCTCCACGTAAAACCCACGGGGACTTAACACCCGCCGGATGCTCCAGTAACTGAAGTAAGCCTCGTAGTACGAGGAACCCCGAACTTCCATCAAGTAAAAGCTTCATGACCGACCACGTCCCATGTCCATCAGCGTTCACAATACAACACAACGATCGCAGACACGCCGGGGAGCTCGCTGCATATGCTAAATCGTGCGCTGCCAGCACGTGATAAAAGGCGACAAACCTACGGCACGCATCTAGATCGTTGCGACTCCACGCCATATCACAGCGCGAGCTTATAACCGCTACAATAGCAATAACCTTGTCACGATCTAGTGCTCGTGGGCTGCGACGTAAAATACTCTGGATAAGCCCAAGCAGGTCACGCTGAGCGTCCGATTGCTCCAATAACCGCAGCAGGAACCAGCCCAACTCAACATTAAAAGGCTCCAGGTGACGTCCATCTTGCGTCAGAGCTCGAATTGCTTTCTGTCGCAACAAAAAATCCCCAGGAGGGCGAGTCTCCAGTCGTAGATAGATCTTCCTCCTCAAAGCCGGAGTTAATCTCTCACCGAAGCGTAATAAACACAGCTGCACTACTTCGTAAGCCAATGCACGTACGCTGGGATTGCGATGGTCGAACAGGTCGGCTATGCAGTCCAACAGAGCATCGATCTCAGCGAGGGTTAGTGTCTCTCTCAGTCGGTCACCGGAGCTCATAGAGCTGAAACTAGTGAATGTGGAGCTACTACTCATAACGGAGCTGCGCCTTTCCTCTCCAGTCGCGTCGTCTTCCTCCTGTACACTACCCAGCGCCTCCAGTGATAATCCTGGACCTGGAAACGTGGCCGAAGTCACTCCTGCATCTGATGATGCAGGCGTTTGAGCTCGTAGCAGTGTCAGCACACGCTCCACGTCTCGCACAAACGAGCGTTCCTCGGCGCGCTGTCTCTGGCGCCTGCAAAGTCTTTGAAGCTGCTGCACCAGCTCTGATGATCCGTGGTCGCCGTCGTCTCCGCCGCTTCGGCTTCTACTGCGCCGACCGAGGCTCGCGCTGAGGTTGAGGCTCGCGCCGAGCGAAGCAGTTACTCCACCGGACGAGGAGGATCGGCGCAGATCTGGCGCGCTCGTGGCAGCTAATAACAAGGACGCCCCATCGGGTGCTTCGCTCGCATCGCAATTCGGCTGTTGTTCGGGCACAGACGCGGTTTCGGGGGCGGCGGAGGGAGTGATGGTATTATCCAGTGTGTCGTCGTCAGCAAGCGGGTCCGGGCTTGCGTTGTGGGAGTCTGTGGTTAGCTCGGAGGCCGGTGGAAGAGTGCCGCCCGGCGCAAGCTCCGCGCTCTCGTCCATCGAATCAGATTTGCATCAGACCATGTCAATTTGCAGCTTGACCCTAAATTTGCAAAGAGGAATGAATGTCAAATTGCCACTTCAACTTCACCGACGTATTGCCAGAGGACTAACGTTAATAAAGTGGTGCATTGACGCTTTACTTTTTTCAGCCGACGTAAGCTCGACTAATACATGTATTATTATCTACTTTATTAGTGTAATACCTACGGCCCGGATACTGGCTCCTTGGTTGCATGGCAACATCCGTGCAAGTCGGAGCTGTCCTTGCCGTTTGGGTCCTCATGTCCTACACCACCTCTAGGGTCGGGTAGTCCGCGGCTGTTTAGGGAGTACGGTCTCGAGTAGTGGCAGGAACGGTAGCACAAGATAACTTAATACACCAAAAAGCTTCTTGTTTGTTTCTCTCACTCAGCTTAGGCAAGAGGTAGTAAATGTAAGACTGAGACTAATGAACGAGGGCCTACCGCCAACTCGCTTTTCCTATACACGACACCGCTTAAGTATATCTTGATCCAAAAGAGTCCTTCTCCATGACATCCGTCCTCGTGCGGCGACAGGAAGGTCCGAGACGCGGTCCTCCTTGCGCATCCGGCCTTGTCCCCAGCCACGTAAGACGATAGGAGGGAACTCGCACACCGTTCCAGTACTCCACCGTAGCGTTCCAATACAATCACACCATAGCTTCACCAGTCTCCTGTGCGAAGTGAGTGGGAGCTTGCGGGGTCAACGGGAACCAGCCTCCCGCCGTCGCAGCACGCTGACCTTCGCCGAGGTCCCTTGTCACAAAAGCCGGCCCGCCAGCGCCTGGCACGACGCCTACATTCCCGGGTACGGGACATACTCCCCGACTTGGAGTTTGCCGTCCTCGGCGAACGGATGGCCAACGCTGGCGGCGCAGGCGAGCCATTGTTTCGGGCGCACCCGAAAGGTCAATAGGACGTTCCGTGGATTGCTCGGTTCCATAGGAGTTACCCAGGAATGCTTCCGTAGTAGGGGCCTCTTCTTCCGCCGCTTGAAAGTCGCGTAACCCTTCGATACCATCCTTGTATCGCAAGCGTTCCAAGCAAAGCGCCTCGGCACGCCTACGCTTCGAAGCGTTCAGTTGGGTGTTAGCCAAAGCTTGACGGACCACACTCTGGGGAGCCATCGAAAGCAGCGGGATATCCTCTTCACACAGACGCAGGGCGTGCGAAATCACACCGGTCACTGCGACGAAGAGAGGCCCCAGCAGGTCCCAGCGAGTCCATTCGTAACAGTAGTCGTACGTCACTAGCAGCATAAGTCCGATGGCAACACCGATAGGTCCTTGTAGGACGAACTCCACTAGGTCGTAGAGGTTAATAGGTACGAACAGCAGCAACGACAGGCACAGCAACGCGACCCAGCAGACGAACTCGCCAACGCCATAACAACGAAGTAGAGTAGCCCGGCTGGCTTCCCATGAAGCGTTCCAGTAACGCTTCGCAGAGTCCTTGGTGTCCACGAGCACGTTAGGTAGGTACTCGGCGAAGGTGACCTTGCATGCCATCCACCAACTACGGAGCATCCTCCCATAAGCACCGTATCTCGCATCCTCGTCCTGAAGGACCCAGGTAGGGGCGTTAAAGAAAACACTCCAAGCCGCGAAAGCGTACACCGAACCGCGTAGCTGGCGGAGTTCACGGTCTTGCAGAGTGTGTCGGTAAGAAGAGGCACACTCTCCACAAATTTCGAGGTTCATGGATAGAACGCGCCAAACCTGCGTCAGGAATACCCCACCCGACGCTTCTTATTGGGAGTCGTCAACACCCAGGCGCGGATCACGCTGGTGTATACTGGGCATAGCTTCCACCGCGCGTATTTCAGGACGAGGCTTGCTTGAACCCCCATTCCTTGTGAAGAACTTTCACAAATGAGAAGAAGACACGTCCGACTCCGTCGTGTACCGTTCCTCCAACTGCGTGGTCATCGCCCATCAATCGTTCACAGTCGACACCTGGGAGAGGGTAGTCGATAACCAACGGCGAGGTTCTCGAGAAACGCCAGAGACGGCAACCAGTCTGTCAATTTTCCGCCTCATTCGGCAATTTGCCTCCCCGCGACGCAGACGCCAACACCCGACGACCCGTCTCCCAGCACCAGCGCCAGCGGTATGGTCGGCTCCCGGCGATAAGGATCGCTACAAGAAACTCCGTGAGGTCGTCGAGGAGGAGTCCTCCGACTCGTCCGAAGGAACGCCTCGGCCGCAGGACTCCGCCGCCGATGTCTGCTTCTGGCTGGCGATGCGCGACGTGCTCGCCATCAACGAAGAAGCTGTGGGGATGGGGATACTGGACGAGATAGCGGCGGCCATCATCCAGGGCAGCGGTAAGGCCAGCGAGGCCTTGACAGGTCCAGTTATGATCCTGCCTTCACCCTCGCGACAGCACGCCCGCGGAAAACCACCACAGGATCACCGCTTCGCTAGAGTCCCGCTCCCTGCGCCACAGAAGGCTAGACCGGGCTCGGGAAAGAAGAAGACGCAGGGCTCTCAAGGCACGTCGTCGCAGGGGCGCAAGGACCGGTCTTCCCCTCCCTTCGACTTACCATTCGAACTCGCCGACAGGACTCCCCCGCGGGTGCGCCGCGATCTCGAAGAGATATATCAAGAGGCCGTTTTGCTCGGGCTGGAGCCGTTCATGATGGCTTTCCCGTGGAGAGGGTCCGTCCTCTGGTACAGTCCCTTCGATTTTCCCTTAGTGCACGTAGCGCATTGGCGCTTCTGGAACCGGAACCGCGCCCGCTTCTGGGACTGGCAGCTCAATGCGCCTCTCAAGAACTCCAGCGCTCGCCGTAAGGCTAAGATGTTGGCTCTCGTGGCCCGCGTGCGCTTCCTTAGTATCTGCATCGAAACGTGGGGTTACTACGGCTTTCTTGAACTGTTCGAGAGGTGCACGAGCCGGCGTCGTTTAATGTGGATGGGCGGGCAACCAGGCCGGAACACTCCCGATGCCAAGTCGTACCGGGGCCCCGTGATCGATAGTTTGACTCGCCTATATCAGCACGACCAAAACGGTTACGTTCGACGCATCCGGGGCGCTCTGAAGCCTTTCGGCATCGACGAGGGCGGCTTTGCTACTATGATGGAGCTCTTACTCCACACGGGCGCCCTGGATCCGAACAGCGCGAAGGCAGACAGTCAGCTCTCGGATCGCGCCTTGGCTCGGGTACTTCACGACGTCAAGTCCAAGGCCAAGCACGCTTCTCATTGGGTTGGAGATCTCTCAGACGGGGTGTGGCACGCTCTTACTCACTGTCCACGTCTCAAGAAGTTGGAGGTCAAGATAGCCCGCGAACTCCGCGATGGGACGCTCAAGGCACCTAGGATCGCTCTCTTTGATTCCTCTGAAGCTGATCAGGACGGGTACGCACCGCTCGAGCGTACCAACGGAACCTCCACCGCGTCTTGGGCAGGGGTCGAGGAAGAAGACGCCGAATCGGAGGACGAAGAGTCCGAGAACGAGGACGACGGACCCGACGGAGTTGACGGCAAAGACGCACGGGGCTACGAACCCTGTTCGGACGAGAGTGGGGCCGGTGGCAAGCGTCCCGTTAAGCGTCTGCACTTGTCATGTTCTCCTCCTAAGTCGAAGAAGTCGGCCAAGCGTTCCACGTCACGCTCTCGTTCACCACGGCGTTCGTACAAGCGGAAGAGTCGCTCGCGGTCGCGCGAGCGTTCACTTACGCCCGAGCGACCTCCTTCCCCCAAGCGCGCAAGCGGCAAGCGCAAGGCTAGCATCTCGTATTCGAAGCGATCGCGTTCGCCTACTCCTGTAAAGAAGAAGTCCCGACGCGCACTGTCGCCCAAGCGTTCTCGCCATCCGTCACAGTCTCGGTCACGATCGGCGTCTCCGGAGAAGAAGAAGTCGAGGCGCACGCTTTCTCCTAAGCGACCGGCGCCGCAGTCCAAGTCTTCGACCAAGCGGGATTCGGCGCAGGCCATTCGACAGTGTTCGGCTTCTAAGTCTCCTCCTTCAAAGGAAAAGGGGGCGGCGGAGACTGCTCCTTCGAAGCGCTCCAAGTCACGATCGCGTTCGGCCTCGCCTGCCAAGAAGACTCGTCGCGCATTCGCCCAAGCGTTCGGCATCGCCGGCGGGGTCGTCGTCCAAGAGGGGAACCTCGCGAGTCTCGCGTCGGCGTTCGTCTCCGAAGCGTTCCCCACACCGTTCGCTCTCTCCGCCTCCTGAGACGAAGAAGCCCGAAGAGTAGCCAGACAAGCAAGCAGCGGAAACTCCGTCGGCCACCAAGAAGAAGCCCAAGGATTCCGAGGAGCGTGCCGAGTCGCATTCACCTTCGCCTAAGAAGGCTACGGTGTCTTCGGACCGTTCGTCGTCCAAGTCGCTACCATCGAAGAAGTCAGCGTAGTCACGCTGTCCAGCGTTCCTTTCCCACGCCCGTAGTGATCCAGACCGTCCCAATTAGAAGCGGGTAGGAGAAGTAGTGTCGTTTCATAACTAGTTTTTCGTTTTGTTTTTCTTTCAACAAGCCCCTTGTAGAGTTCATCTCGCGTCCGATGACTTGTTGGTCTCTCTTCGTAATGCATGAGGCTTGAAACCGTTTCGTAATATCCAGAAATATGCAAAATAAAAGTAGGGAGTGTTTCACTGCACACTCCCCCTCAAGACTGACTTTAGAGTCCACCGTGACTCGAAAGGCCAATCTCACTCCACTACTCTTTAGAAGAGTAGTTCATCTTCGTCCACAGCGGCGTTAGCTTCTTCCAGGCGCGCGCTGCGGCGAAGTTCCGGAAGCCCAGCCTCCTTCCTTCTCGTATCTTCGAACGCTTTAATCAGAGTGGCGT